TATACATGTTGGGTCAAATTTGTGTGGAGGTTGAAAAATACAGGGGGAGTCTTTATGGCCCAAAATAGTGATTTTAGTAATGTAATTCGACAGGTAAATTACAGTAATATTTTTAGAAAATTTCTTTGAAAAAATTTCGTAGGCATAGGGCCTAGGCCTAGCTAGGTATACAGTAATTTCATTTTACAGTAGTTTGGAACGATATCAGGAGTGGGGGTGGTGGCAGTGGCCTACTAGGACAATTTATTTTAAGCTATCTTGGGTCCGATCGTCCACACCAGTTGGGCCCAATCGTCTGTCACCCGAAGTTTTCATTACGATTATCAAGAACGTACACGATCTAGGCCCTGGGCTAGGCTTAGCTTGATGTCGTCACTCTGCTACGTATACTACTACCGCATAACAAAGAAAGCGACCAACGTGGTGCATTCTTAAATATTACACACATTGTTTAATTGTATTAGACGACAACACGATAACACGATATCATTGATTGAACGATCTAACTACCCTCGCATCGCAGTAATACTGAACTAGGCCTAGCTTAGGCCTCATGTTTTTGTGGAAAGCTAGATAGTCGTTATGTACCCGACAGTCGGCTGCCTTTATATTTTCACCTGTATTCAGTTTGTATTCAAAAGGTACATTGCTGCACAGCCAACTGTCGGGGATATAGTACCTTCATATGACTATTCATACGTATACAACAGAAAAAAACGTTGCATGGACTTAGTGAAAAATGGAGATCTAAATGAAAAAACGATGTATTTCAGCAAGTATTAAAACATTTTAGTTTTATTTCAGGCCTTCTTCAAAATACCTATGCCTACAGCAGTTGAATTTTTTTGCCGTAAAACCAAAATAGTTTCATCCATGCCGACTTTCCGGTCGGTTAGCGTGAGTCCTGACTGAACTCTGCAGAAACTTCACATCGATCTTCCCGTCGCGATGTAAAACAAAATGTCGGAAAACTTTTCTTTGATGCATTTGCATAAATGTCTACACACACATACACACACACACATACTACACACAATAAAAAACAAAAGAAATGTGACTAAGAGTGATTACAATAGATCCTATTGCATTACATGCATAGGAACTAAAAATGAAATTAATGTAACTCTGAATTATTCATATAACAGAACAACATAAACATAAATATATGATTTACAGATGTTTTACTACAAAATTTTTTTAATATACTGACACAAAAATGCTGTTATCATTTTCATCAAAAGCCAAACACATTGAAATGAACAAAACTAAAACTAAAACTCTCAAGATGTCATACCTGAAGTACCTTTGATAGTATATTATTGAACATGAAACAACTGATAACACATGCATTACACACTTTTTTGCATGTTTGTTTAATTTTCATTTTGTTTGACATCATTCGTATTAAGGTAATTTTAAACGATCTAAAAAAATTATGCGATCCACCAAAATTATGGTTTATAGCATATTCCGTTGTGGGTAATGATAAGAATGACTGTGATGTTGGTAGTGTTGTCATTGTTAATGGTGGTTTATAGCATATTCCGTTGTGGGTAATGATAAGAATGACTGTACCTTTGATAGTATATTATTGAACATGAAACAACTGATAACACATGCATTACACACTTTTTTGCATGTTTGTTTAATTTTCATTTTGTTTGACATCATTCGTATTAAGGTAATTTTAAACGATCTAAAAAAATTATGTGATCCACCAAAATTATGGTTTATAGCATATTCCGTTGTGGGTAATGATAAGAATAACTGTGATGTTGGTAGTGTTGTCATTGTTAATGGTGGTTTATAGCATATTCCGTTGTGGGTAATGATAAGAATAACTGTGATGTTGGTAGTGTTGTCATTGTTAATGGTGGTTGGCAGTGGCGGATCCAGGAATCCGAAATAGACCCCAGGGAGGGACTTGCCTAGACGGGGTTCTAGACTACCTCATTCCCACCATGGTTTGGGCTGAGGTAAGGAATTTATGATTAAGGCACCTCTAGAGAGAGATCACCGGAAATGGCACTCTCAGACTTAATTTTAAATATAATTTTCCTTTTTTCCATTATTTTTTTTATAATTCTTAAAAATTGTTTTTGGGGACGGGCCCTCTCTCATTGAATCTGCCTCTGGTTGGTGGAGGTAGTGGCAACACATACAGTAGGCTGCAGTGATGGTGACAATGACAACTATTATGATGGTGATTTAATGCCTACCTGTTTTGTTGGACAGGTAAGCTGTAAACTGGTCAATGTTGATGAACACTTCAAAAGATCAAAAAAGAACAAAAATTTCTTGTCCCTGAAAGAAGAAAATAATGAATACATTCAGTAGTAATAAAGCAAACATGTGAATAAGCAAATTTCTCAGCAACATCAAAATATTATTAACTGCGCATTATATACCCATCATTTTGTTCTCTGCCTTAGAAACTCAAAGGGTAAATGCTTTGAAAAAAATCTAATTTATCACTAATTTATTATTAGTCTTAAATTAATTTCATAATAACGACTTCTCTTTTGTAAAATTGGGAAACTTTTATGTGAATTGCATGTACCAGAAATATTAATTACAATAATACATATTTTTTATATAAAATGTACTACTATATATTAGGATATATTTAAAAGCATTATGCTACATCTCAAGCAGTCCTCTGCAGTAGGTGGATCCAGGAATTCAAAATAGAGAGGGTCCAGGGAGGGGCTTTGACAGATTGTGGGTCTAGGTCAATATAATTTTATGATTGTCGTTGAATTCTATTCTCAATTTGTTAAGTTGTTTACTCTTCTTGCGAAGTTCACTTTTGAGTAATCTACTTCGTATAGCATGCACATCATTTGTTTGAACATTAGGTAGTTTAAAACAAATGAATTTTGGGAAAACGCCGAACATTTTACAATTGTGTAAAAAATGATGATCCAATTCAGCTTTAATGAAGCGTAGGGATATTTTTATGATTATTAGAATCTCTAGAAGCCACTCTCAAATTCTTTTTTTTTTCTTTATGTTTTTTATAATTTTGAAAAATTTAGGTGGGAGGGATCAGGACGGCTGTTGCCTTGAATTTGCCACTGCCTGCAGTAGTGGCACTAATGGGGAAGGGCGAGTGCAAAAGAATACCGCTTGGATATGCCAATAAACTTTTTATATATATTTTGGTTTATTGACCAATATATATAATTCCAAGGATATCATAGCCAGTACCACTCAATTGCAATAATTGGTAGAAAACTTACCAACAAGAAGAAATTAAAACACAGAATTTTAGAGCAACATTTTTTAATTCATTAAGTAATTACTTTCAAAAACAATTTCAAATGAGGCTTCCCTTGTATGGTCGCTCCAAAACAACATAACCTACATTTGCAGATTGAGCAAGTCTTGTTCATTACCAATATTTTCTAAATATTCAAGTTTCTGAAAATTGTAGGCAGGCCTATGAAATTAGGAATTATGGAGATTCTTGTTCAGCACCCTTTTGGGTAAATCATTGTTGCATCACCGTTTTAGTTTAAGACGATTAACTTACTTTACTGCAGGCGAGATGCCACAAATTTGTCCTTTGTAGTCAGTAGGGTAGACCAGCACTCTAGGGTCCCCATTGATCCAGGCTGAAATATCAAACACCAATTATCAATTTCAACTCAATTTAAATTTGACAAACTGCAGACAGGAGTCATGAATTGCATAAAAATAAAAATATTGAAAAAATATATGTTTAGGCAGCATCATAACACTTAACTGCCTATAAAATATCCTAGATAAATAATTAAATTGATATTACAGTATACGCTAAAAATATACCAGTAATTATATTCTTAGTAGTATTATACAAAACTTACCGTAACCGCCAACAGCAAACATTCCACCGACGAAAGCAATAAACAGGAGGCAACATATAACATCTGTACAACTCCTAAATATGAAATGAAAAAATGAATAAAAATGATTAGAAAATGGAAACAAAAGAGGAACATGGAGAAAGTAGAAATATCAATTAATGAATATAAATATTCAAGATCAGTTCATGTGTATTTAATGCAATTTATGATTTGTTAATTAACTCCACAGCTATTCAACAGAAAGACCATAATACTCAAAGGGCTGTCTCTGTAGGATTCATACATAACCCCTCTAATGAAAATGTAGATATCATGTACTGCTCCCTAGCTACTGTAGCCGGAAGTACTTAATTATTTAAGGCCATGTTTTCACATCAATGAGTTTTTCAATAGTAACAGGATTAATAGTCCAATCCAGTTCCTGCACAATGAGAACAAACTGACTCAAAATTATCTGATTAAGTCTCATTCACATGCAATATATAGTACATTTAGAATATGATGTTTGACCTCTGACTCTGGTCAATGATTCTTTACGGTCTATGAGCAACGCTAATAGCTAATGTTCGCAGAAAAATTTTTGATGCCAATATTATTGTTAATTTTCAATTGAAATCAATTGAGATAATTTTAATAAAGTTTATAGTGACAATCAAAAAAATGACTATGCATCAATAGCTGAGGCAAACTGGCATTAATAAATGTAGGCCTACCAGTCCAACAACTAAATAAGGGTGCTATACCCAAAGGTGCATTGGTCTGTGACCACCTGAAAGAAGAATAATAGCAATCTGCCACTGATCACTATTGGTAATATTAACCATATCTGCATTCATAACTGTTTTTATGTGAGTATAATTGGCCAAAATATAAGTGAGATAATTGGCCAAAACATGCTGGAATGTCAAAATTGTTGAAATTTATTTTATTGCACAAAACTAACTTTTATATATCCGTACATTGTGCTATGTTGTTATTTTTCCCATTTTCAATGTTAAAAACAACAATTTTTAATGATTTGGTGATGATTTTGTAAATGCCGCTTTTATTGATTAGTTATTTCCTAATTATTTACTGTAGGCTTACAATTTTGACTGTATTGTATTATGCTTGTTTCGTGTCTGTTTTCATTTTGGTAGGCTTATTTCTATATTATGTAAATTTTCAACTTTTGTTGAATTTTGAGTGTTTTATGCTGAATAAATAAATAAAAGTAAAAATTATAAACTTTGAAGGCTGATTTCTTAAATATTGTTCTTTAAACAGCTGTATGTTTGAACTCCCGTAACTTCATAATGAAATTCGGATTTAAATGATTATTTTACCATTTTATAGCTCTCATTTTCCTTTTTAACCTCTATTAATAACTAAAAATAAATTTTTGCAAGGATTAACTGGTTTGGCTTGTCTTTGCCATATATATATTGTTTGCAGTACTGTATATTGAAACTGTATAGATGCCCTCATGTAGTTGTTTATCGGGCGTTTTTCAATTGCTGTGTCACAACCAGGATGTACTACCTGACTGGATACTACTACAGGAAAACATGCTCTTGAATTACAAAACATGGCATAGTTCAAGATATGAAATGTAAATAATAACAATGGCTACGGCCACACTAGAGTCTCAAGCCTGGCTTGACTCTCCGCGGGTGAGATTTTCGTAATGTGACCGCACCTGGATCGACTCGCGCCTGGCGTGACCTCGATCTCAATCTACTTATCTCGATCCCGGCTCAGCACCCAGATTGACCCTGGATTGACCATGGCGTGACCAGAATTGACATTTCCTCGTCGATGACGCTGTTGCGTTTAGAAGTTCTTGAATAAAAAACCCGCAAGTTTTTCATGTGTGTATTATAATAAGACGCAATCATCAGTTGTCATTTATAAATTCACTTATCGATCTGAAAACTAGCATCGCCATTACATTCGAGCCTAGGCCTAGATCATCTGATATACTGTCCATTATCATAGGTCTATGAACTACATCGATTATCCTAACCAGCAACGGTAGTAATGCGATTAACGAAGTCGGGTGCATGTGTTCGATTCCAAAGAAGTAAAGTTCGACCGCAAGAATGTTTTTCGCGCGCGGGGCTGGTATTTTGATTGTGGCGGCGTTCTAACTTCCTGTTTCAACTTTCCTAATTTGGAGGTCAATCCAACTAAATTCAGGTAGTGTGACCGACCCAGAATTTCGAGCCTGGCTTGAAATCTGACCCACGGTGAATCAAGCCAGGCTTGAGACTCTAGTGTGACCGTAGCCTATAACTCACCTGTTATCAATTGGTCCATGGAACGATGGGTCATACTTCTCTGGATCACCTGAAAAACATTTTAAAATAATATTAACAATTTATATACAACTTTTAAAGACAAACAACAATGGGAGAAAAATGGAAATGATCTCTAGTCATTGGAATATCATAGGTTATCCTTCCAATCCAACCAACAACTTTAAAGTTGGTCATTAATTTAAACTGTTGCATAGTTACCAACCGTCTCGCATCGTGCAGGACGGTCCCGCATTTCAAAGTGATTTTCGATGAAACACCCATTTTGCAGAAACACATGCATGATCATAAATTTGTCACGCATTTAGCACAAGTCTATGCATGATAACAAATTATCACGAATTCAGTGGAAAATTTCTCTAAAATTAAAAGAAATTTGTTTTATTAATGATATAAAAACGGTCATGCAGTAACTTGAGTCATTAGACAGCTTTCGTTATCTCATTCGAGAATCAATTCACCCACAAAATTTCTCTTTCTTGACCAAAACAACCCAGCCAACCACGCACTTGGCATGTGCGGTCTTGTGTGCTCATATTCACAACCAACTGTTGATTATGACAGAAACTCGGGCCCCACCAGGACTCCGCCACTGGATGCCGGCGGGAGCCCTGACTGCCCCGGCCCCCAGCAAACTGGTGTAGTCACGCATTTCAAATCTCTCAGGTTGGTAACTATGCTGTTGTGTCATTGTGTCACTCTCTCTTTTGTTTTTTTTTTTTTGTTCCCTTTTCTTTTTTTATAAATGTTTACTGTATGCCACTCTTTGTTTTGTAAGATTAAATCAGTGCAAATATTAATTGATAAATAACATTTTAAAAATAAGATTTAAAAAAGAAGTTTAGAATGTGCAAGGTTTTATGAACATCCAATTGTTGCTAATCAAAGTAGGCAAAATAATAATATTTAACAAAACATTATCTTTATTTCCTCTTTTTCTGTGATTATGCCAAATGTTCTCTTGTACTGACTGAATATTTTATTTTTTAGTCACCACTGATTATAGTTAGCAGTAGGTCAGTGGTTTTTTATTTCCTAAAAGCATACAAGGTTATGAATTATAACTAGAAATTGCAAATTGCAAGTGAAGTGCTGCGAAGTACAACTGCATATAAATGTTCTTCGAACAAAACTATTTATGCGAGTCAAGTGAAAATAATGAATAATAAAAATATAACAAATAATATGAGGCACAACCCATTGTCTATATTAGAACAGCGTTGCCGTTGGTACCGTGTATGCCAGTCTACAAGCGTCGCCTCAATGTAATAATTAGCACGCTGAAATAGGCTAGTAAATAAGTTTAACTGGGTTCGTAAATAATATTGGCCCCAAAATATTGTGGCTGAGACATGGGCCGATTAAACGTAGAAATAGGAAACCTAGAAATATAGTAAAAACGCTGAATAGTAATACTCCAGCGTCGCGACATGCAGACGTTGGTATAAGTAGGTTAGTCTACAAACGTCGCCTAAAGTAATTGATTTTACCCGGCACAACGAAAGAAGGAAACTCCGCTTTTCAGTCGTCTTAGGCCCTCATTTTTTGACAAACAATGACCTTTCAGAGATCAAATTGCTGTCAAGAATATGAATTGGCTGCTTCGCAGCAATTAAAGATGTAGTATAGGTTTAAACGTGAAGTAGATATTACCTGTATTAATACAAAATTTAAAATATGATAAATTTAATTATGGAAGACAGATAATTGATATACTGGTAGTTAACATAAAAACAGCACATCAGTTGATGACATCACTATAATAAGCTATGACTTCACCAGGATACTGAGTTTAATAACCTTTACAATGTTGACACACTCCACAGGTATCAAAAGATATGGGCTGATAAAATTGTTTACTTTGCAGTTGTTAATGTTATTGGGCATTGTAAATATGATAATTCCCAATCTACTGTACTCAAGGCACAATATATTAATTTGTTTCCCTTTCATCATTTCAACATTACCAAACTGCCAATCTGATTCATTACAAACCAAAACTACTGTCTTATTAATAACTGTAAAATTGTATTACTTTAAAATACTAGTGTTATACATACACTAGCTTACACATACAGTACAATAGTGCTGTCCTTCAGGTGAAAGCTCTGTGTGCTCGAAAACGTCAGTGGTGCAACACTGCGGCCATGGGCCCTGTGACTTTCTAAGACTATGGGCCATTTTTGAGTCCCGATCTCCAATTCCATTGTGGTTTTTTAGTTGTGTTTTTTAATAATGTTTATCAAAATATTCTACATTTTTGTAACAACGAAATAAATGATATGATATCAATGGTGGATCCAGGAATTTGAAATAGAGAAGGCTCTGGGAGGAGCTTTCACAGATGGTGGGTCTACAGTATACCATCTCAGCCTTACCATGGTTGGGGCTAAGGTAAGAAAATTCATAATTTTATGGCACCTCTAGATGCCGGAAATGGCACTCACTGACTAAAAATATGAATATAATTTTCTTTTTGTTTCTACTTTAAAAAAAAAAATTGCCAATTATCAGGAACACAATGCTGTTTAGTATTAACGAAACTGTTCTGGTTCAGGGTGCCAGGTCCAGACTCTATGGGTAGAAATTAGGGCCCTACAGACTTCCGCACAAGAGCACATAGTATATTAGTATTGTCAAATGAAACTAGTCTTAAAAGTAATACAATTTCACAGTGTTTTATTTACTATTAATTGACTACTGTTGCAAGACTCAACCAATTTCAATGTCTTCTTGTCTTACTGTAACTACTGTACTCGCACGAATAAGCGCACCGTTTGAATAAGCTCCCCTCTCGAATAACTGCCCCTCCTAACGTGAAAATTTCCTTAAGCGCCCCGTTTGAATAAGCGCCTCCTTCTAATATGAATAAGCGCCCCTTCAATAATAAGATTTTCTTTTTAGCAAGTCAATAATCCAATCAATCCTGGGACTGTGGTTGTTGGCATGATTTGAGCTGCAGAGTGGAAACACATTCTTCTAGGTCAATACCAAAATGAGGATATTTCTCTTAGACAGATGAGAGCTCCGATTCCTGGAGAGACAGTATATTTCCAACTTTACTCTTTTTACACATTTGACTATGTCTAGTCCTACTCCTCTTTTTCTGACCTTTACTGTTAGCACATTCTCATCTGAGTTTTCAAGAAAAAAATACAATGATCCTGCCATCCTGCTAATCTCATTCGACCGATGGCCAACAAGCTAACCACTACCCACCACCACTAATTGCATCTGCTGTTATGTAAATATTCACGCATTCTTGTCATGGGCCATGTTCTCTGGAGGATTATCTTTTCCGCCTAACCACCATTCGTAATCTTGAATTTAATAATTTCCCATAAGAACCCCTCGATTTTCATCTATTTCCATCAGCGCCCCCCACCCCAATTTCCACTCTATTTTCATAAGTGCCCCGTTTAAATAAGCGCCCCGTTTAAATAAGCGCCCCGTCTGAATAACCTCAGAAAGTGCAAAAAAAATATTTTAAGCGCATTGGCGCTTATTTGCGCGAGTATGGTATTTTAGTCATTAATTTTCGCTCATGTACAGTATATTACACACTTATACTCTCATATTTTTATGTTAACAATTTCAAAGTTATATTAGTCTTCAATTTGAAAGAGTAAACATAAAACTGTAATAATATTTTTACTCTTTCAAAGTTTGTCTTCACTCAAATAATACTTTGTTTACCAACTCAACTTACTTTGTTAATATTTGCCATACTGTTAGTGGGGCGGATATGTGACTGGGGCGTGTACTTCTGGAAAGAAGCATGAAACTCACCATTTACATGCTAGAATGCTTAACCCCAAATGATTCATCCTCAGAACTCTGCACCTATACACCACTATGGTGCCTAGGTGACCACTAGACACTTGAGACACTCAGTGCCGTTTCTAGGGTTCCCCCCACCCCCAAAAAAGCTCTCCCAGTTGTGCGTTCCTCCCCCTACTAAAAAAAAACAAAGATAAAATTACCATGTATCACTTTATTTTGTGACCTAGCACCCCTCACTTAATCATCAAGGGCCCCCGATTCTACCTTCACCCTCCCAATCAGCTCCCCACCATTTCAAGTCTTCTAGATATAAAACCACTTTACGGTTTTTGTACATGTTACTGTATACTTTACTTTTGACTTGTAAGCCATTGCTCTTTTACTCATAAACTTGGTCTGTAATAATATTTAATCTAAATTCAGTTTTGCAGTGATACAGTTTAGCCTATAGGGTCTGTGGTTTAGTTATTATACAGTAGTTTTAAATCAAGTTTTGATCCAGCAAATAGTTATTAAATCAGTGTAATGTATTTAACATGCAAAGATTATCAGAATCCTAAAGTAAACAGCATTTTAATGAGTTTTAAAGACTTTTTTGATAACATGCAGGAATAACATGAAAACTACATTACTGTACATCCAATTGATTTCTTTTCAGGAATTGACTTGCGTTAAAAAAGAATGCAGTACACTCTTTAAAAAAGAGCAGAGTGTACACTTCTATTTTTAAATTCTTAAGGTTTTAAGTAGAGCAATATTGTCACCTTTTTTTGCCGCTAATTTTATTGTTTTTAAATCTTTCATTTCACACACTGAATTAGGATATAGTTTTAAATTATATTTACGAATATTTTAAACATTTTCATGTATTGTTTTTAACCTTGGAGAACCACTCAACAGTGATTTGTTTCGCTTTTTGTTTATCCCATCAAGTTTTTAACAATTGCTATTTTTACTGTCTGTCTGTATTTTCTTGTGTCCTTATTCCAAGAACTTAGCCAGCGAGCCATCCGGCCATCTTTTGGATGGCCAACAATTATTTAGAACTGCCACTTTTACTGTGACTACTTGGATGGATTGGCCTACTGAGCTTGGCCTAGTCTATTGGCCTGGTCTACCAGGGGTCTACTTTTAGAAAATTCTTTTTATTCTTTGAATTTATCGAATGTTACATTAAACTAAAACTAAATCATATTTACGTTTGATAAAACAACCTTTATTGATTGAATTTACATTGTTTTTATACCA